AAATATACCTACATTGTTGCTCTTGAAACATTTTTTTTTAGTTGGTGAGCTCCGGTTAACAGAAGCTTCGTGAAGCTTCTGAAGGAAGCGTCTGTGGGTCTGTTACCATCCTCTGGGGGGTTTACACTAAAGGAAAGAGTAAACATTACCATGTGACAAAGGGTAGGACATAAGAATATACTCTCTGTAGGAGGGTAAAGCACAGAGTAGATGATGCGTTACTCCCTAAAAAAGGATTCCGTTAAAGATTTACCCTTTCAAAGAGTGTAACCCAAAAAATGTTACACTCTAGACAAGAGTAAATCAAAAGAGTTTACCATTCAGAAGATGGTAAAAAACGTCTGTGTGTCATGTTACCCCTCCCTGGCGAGTTTACTCTTCATGAAAGAGTAAAATTTACCATCTGGAAGGTGGTAAAAAACGTCTGTGTGTCAAGCTACCATGCTATGGCGGGTTTACCCTTCAGGAAATGGTAAAAAAGTTTTCAGTGCATGGCAGCCTGTCAAAGAGGCATTTACCGGCCTTAATGTGGCACGACCGCGAGCCATCAGAGGGCTGACCTCCAGCCCAGTCGCGACGCTCTCCGTCTCTCTCACGAGACGGAGCCTCACCATCGAGCCCCATCCCCGGATTTTCCTCCTTAGCTCGATAAAAAGACCCCATCGAGCCTCATCCCCCGGATTTTCCCCCGCGTAGCTCGATAAAAAGACCCGTTCTCTCGCTCCCCTTCCCCTCAGACGACACAGGTGGCTGCTCAGGAGGCGGCGAGCACGCGGTCATCGCCAGTGAACCTGCACAACCCATCGCTCCGGTGGTCGTCTCCGCCGTCTGCGGCCCCAGCTGACGGGGCGGTCCAGAGAACGGTGCACAAGGTCAATGAGCCGGTCAGGCGGGCCGTGGGGGACAGCTGGAGGAGTGACTTCTCTCCTCAGCCCTCCACTGCCGGAGGGAGACTCGTGCGCTCTGCATGGCCGGCTATTTGTGGGCGAGATAATCTGTGGGCGCTTAGTTTTGAAGATGGCAGGACCTCAGCTTAGGTGGCAGCTGCCTGCGCCACGACGACTACCAGCTTTACTGGCTCAGCTTAGCTAAAATGGCAAGCTAGCTTAGTTGCATGGATGACCTGTGACCGGATGTCCCGATGGCAAGGCATGCTCATTGCTAAATATAAGTTCTATCAGGCATCAGCTGCTGCATCGACACATAAAAAAATTACTTGTGGAAAGTTTGTGCTTTTGTGCAAGAGACATTTGTGCAAGGCTGACTGATGAACTCATATATAAAGTTTTCATCAGCCTTCAAGGCTGTAAGCAAGAGATCCCGCTGCAGCCAGTCACCGCAACTGTTGCCCTCACTACCCCACTCCGCAGTGTTTAGGAATGTCGACAGAAGGGGCACCATGCTGTCGTGACCCACCACGGCACGGAATCCCCGCCTCGGCCCCGCATGGATTCGCGGCGGGTACCGTGAACCATGGTCACTGAGGCACGCCCGGTATTTACCGTCACATCGGCAAACAAACAGTCGGCGAACCGGCTCCACGGGACGCCATAACACGAAGGGAGGGCCTCCTGTTAGTTCGGCACACAGAATCCTGGCGGATGTGGAGCGACACTTAGCTGTCGGACAGAAGTTCATAGGACAGGGTCTGTCCTTCAGTACCTTGGCAGCTTCTCAGAAACCCTACCTGTTCTCGTATGGCGTCATACGCGCCTTCATAAACGCCAGGTGCGTGTAGACTCATGGCTGGCCTCATCTCCAAGACAGGTGATGAATCAGTTCGACGAAAACCCGTCCAGTCACTCCCCGCAGTGCCAGGAACCGCCACCACGAGTGAATATCTCTCAGACACCCGGGGTCCGTCTCAGTAGCCTGCATTACAATCAGATACGAGGCCGGACGCGTCACTGTGACCTTGGATGACATCAGAAGGAGACCACGGCAGTGACAGTCCGGCGAGAGCCGTTCATGCAGCGGACGGGCGGGCGGAGCCGGAGATGGGATTAGATCAAGGTCGGATGAGAATATAAAAGATGTTTCTTATAACCGCAAAAATGCATGTATACTGCACGGCTTCTTGCAAAAGTTATCCCGATGGTAAACGTTGGAAGAAAAATGTTGCAAATCAGCAGCGAAGGAGTTGAATTGTGTGAGTATTTTAATGGTTGGCTACGAGTACAATAATGCATGGTTTTTTATACACCTGCTTCTCCTGTTCATTTAAAACTTACGACAGCCACAGCCTCGCTGAATTTTCCACTCTGAACCTCTGCCACCTGTGATGTGCGGCAGCTATTAGCACGCGGCCCAGCCGCAGTCCCACGGGGGTCAGTCGGGTCCCGGCCCACCGTTCACCGGTCATGGCACGCGGCCGGCGCGCCGCGGCGGCCGGCGGAGGCTGGCTCCCGGGCGGGTTCAACGCTCCACGGCCGGTCGCCGCCGCTGCCCGGTGCGCGTCGCGTGCAACTGACAGAGGCGCGTCGGGTCATTTCCCAGAACCCACCAGACGGCTGCATACAGACTGGAGACACACGGGTCGGCTGCGAGTGACTTGGATACGAATGTCACCGTCCAGCGAATAAAAGCCGTCCCGGCAGCTGATGGCTTATTGCCTGGAGTGTGGAGCGTTTTCATGTCGCATGCAACTTCTGCATTATGCAATATGGGATGTGTATTATCAGTAGATGAAAGAAAAAACATTTTTTATCTTTCTTCATGAAATCACTGGAACGTGTCCACAGAGGCCATTGCTTTATTGTATTATAATGACATTTGGTTTTGGACTTGTATTACAACGTAACCTAAGAGTTACCTAAGACTTGTACTACTCTTAGGTAACTATTGATTCTGGTGTGTTCAGTCATTAGCCATGCAATCGCTTCAAGTAAGTTGATGATCATACACTATCGCATGAGAATGTGGGAATTTATCGTAACGCAAAATACGAAAGCTTGAAGAATATAAAATGGAAATGGCTGGTTTAAAAGTAGTGATTGTCGACTGACTTTTCTGGTCGAAACACTGAATAACAGAATGTCTTGACGTTTGAAGCAATTAAACAGGAAAACTGTTTGTACTCGTATGAAGTTTACTTATGATTTTCATCGGAGCGAAACCAGTTCCAAAGGCATCAACGAATGAGCATTAAAGGGACTATCCCACCTTTAACATGGGGTTTGAGTTGAGATAGCCAAGTTTGCGGCGAGGTTCAGAAACCACTATCTATCTAGGTTGCAACCCCCGCGGCCTCTTGGTGTTGAAGAAATTCGTTCCCTTCATTTGAAAATGGGCCTTGTACAAGGCCCTATCTTCAACATGGAGCGACCGTTAGTGTGACGTCACCTCGTTTAGTCATTCTGATTTAAATGGGTTTGTTCGTTGAAAAATCGCTTAAAACTTGATCTGAACTTTGTTGTGGTGCCTACAGAGTAAAAAGAATCAGCTTTATGACAGTTATGTGGCCTGGGGAACGAGGTAATTTTGGGCTGTGACGTCACATATTTGAAAGTTTGTGTTTGGAATATGGGAAGCCTAAGATGTTTAATGAAAAATAAATGCCAGAACCGTGTTCCTGGTCATCCAATCTATAAAGTCAGGCACAATTTAACTGGTTTTAACAACATTTTAGAAGGTGGGATAGTCCCTTTAATTTAAGATTCAAATTTTGTTTTTTGCAAAATTACTACAATTAATGATGTGTAGGGTAACTGTGGGGAAAACGCACCCCTGGGTTAAACGCCTCCCCTAAAAAAATCGTATTTCTTATCGGACGGATAGGTGTTTTATCCTGTCTTTCAGAACAGTCAGCTGCTTGTTTACGTAGGTCTCTATTTCCGGTTCTGCGTCTTGAGGAGCAGCGTGGGTAGGTGCTGATTCTGGTTTTGGGTGTGGTTTTTGTTGTTTTTACAGAAGATTCCTAATATTTTGATGCCCTCTTTATATCACAAAACTTGCTATTGTGCACATCACTCAAAACTGCGTTTTATTGTCATTCTGTTGAATGTATTATGCTGCGGCATTAGTGGCGCGTTTTTTGTCAATGTTTTGTTGACCGGAAGTGAAGTGGATGGGGCAAGACGCCTACTCGATGCATGGGGCAAGACGCCCCCAGTTTTCTGAAAGGGGGGCGTTTTGCACGGTGGTGAGAGTGCAGGGTAGCGCCCTGTAGGTCGGGGCCGAAAAGGCCTCTCCCTGTCCTTTTTTGCTGATATATCCTAAACGACTGCAGATATCGTCACCAAACTTTCAGGACTCCTCCGGGCATCCATTTTACACATTGCAACAAAATTTTATTCCAAAGGCTATGATAGGTTGACCACAAATGACGTCAGAATGACATCAAGTTCTGCCATGTTCATCATTTTCTGTTGATGGATGGGGTGGGGGCGCTTTGCACATGGGTGTGGGCGTATTACCCAGGGTATGGGGCAAAACGCCCTTTTGTAAGGGTATGCGAAAACCTTTTTGGGGGGGTTAAATACCACACGCAGGTGTCTTTTCTTGGTCTCAAAGCGTAGTAAAAAGAATAAGCTACATGATGGTGCCCAAAGTTTTAAGTAATCTGTGTTGGGTTGAGTGTCAGAAGGTTTCGCGCTTAAGTGGGGCGTTTTTGACCTATTCACCCTAAACCCACAGGACTAACAGCAGATTGTCAAACAAGACGGGATGATAATGTAATGCATTGTCTGGTATCATAAAAATCTTAAAACCTGTCCATTTTATTCAAATGTCACATATATAAAATTGTCGCCAAATAAGTCGTTAAAGGGCAGTTTTCGTAATCAGGCAAGCACATTAAGGTCATAACAAGGTTGAAAGAAAATTGGTGAAAAATTCAGGCTTTTATCATCTTCAGCCAACCTTCAGCAGCTCGAGACAACCAGCAACTTTATAGTTTGCTGTGACCTCTGAGTGCTCGAGCACTCAGGGGCCACAGCAAACTATAAAGTATCTAATCCAGCCCGTTTTGATTGCGAGCTGCAGGCTGTTTTGATGCTCACCTGAATCATGGTCGCAGCGTTGCACGGTAGACCTATCTGCTGTCTGTCGATCTCTCAATCCGAGTCCGTCCTATGTGTCCGTCCAGCGCACACCTGCGTTAGTCTCAGACGCAGCTCGCGGGCCGTGTTCCCAGCTCCAGCGCCGCGCAGCGACTGAGTCGCCGCACTCCGGCGGCCGTCGTGTCGAGGTGAGCAGGCCCGGCTCGGTCCCTTTCACCGTGCGCCGCCCCTATCCCGACCGAACCGTGCCCAATGAACAGCCCCCCACCGCGCGGCCGGACTGGATGGTCATCAACAACAAAACTACCCAGACCCAGAGGAAAACAGAGCGGGGAAATACCAAAACACTTGAGTGTCAGCGAGGGGTTTGGTCGGTTTGAATGGACTCGAAAACAATTTGAACGTTGATTGGTTTATTGAACCGTCTTTTGTTTCAGGCGGACCAGTGTGGCTAGAATAGCGTACTATGTGAGATGTGATTGTAGTGGTCAAGACACACTGAAAAAAACTTACTCCCCATTTTCTAATTTTAGAATGCCAAAAAGCACTCCTGCAATCGAATAATTTTATGACCTGGCATAAGCGCCTAAAATGGGGAGTTTTGGGGAATAAAACTAGCATATAGAATATATTTAGTATCCGAACGCTTATATTATTAGCGCTAGGGAGTAATTTTATGACGGAGGATAAAAGTATGCTATCTTTGGATAAAATTACACCAGATGATAATTTTATTAACTTAATACTAAAATTACTCCCATTCGGGGAATAATATTGCCATGCCAAAAAGCACTCCTTTTTTCGATAATTTTACCCCGGAGTAACTCCCCGGTAAAATCAAGCCCCGGTGTAAAAGTACCACCCCTGATAATGCGGGGTGATGTGATAATATTATGACGAAGTGTAAAATAAGGAATGCATTTAAACAATGTATTGAAACACCAACAATTGATTAACGAATGGTACCTGAGCATCAGCAGGTACATCTTAATTTGGACGCACTTCCAGTGATGGCGCATTGCGGCCGACAGGGACGTAATTTTGCTTCCTAGTTGAGAAGCGGCGTCTCAACTGGGAGGCAAAACTTCGTCTCTGCCGGCCGCAATGCGAAATCACTGGAAGGACGTTCAAGGTCACAACTCACAAGGGCATTATGGTTAACACTGAGGCTAACGAATAACATCTGCGCACAGAACCACCGCCACGGATGGCAGATAAAACGAGCGTGTATGGTTAACACTGAGGCTAACGAATAACATCTGCGCACAGAATCACCGCCACGGATGGCATATAAAACGAGCGTGATCTGGGCTATGAAAGACGTACTGAGACTCATTGGCGTACTGAGACCGCCGCAGCTGAATTAGTCATAATACAGAGGCTCCAGTAGTGTGAGCCACACGTTGCGAGTCACTTGAGCCACAGGTGAGCCACAAGTCACGAGTCACTTGAACCACAGGTGAGCCACAGGTCGCCAGTCATTCGAAGTGGGCATCTCCGATGCTGGTTCTACACTACCTGGGTAACCTCCCACACCTTCTGTGATAAGCCAGATAGGTTTACATCGAATCCCACACTCTGGTAAAGAATCTCGAACAGGGCCCTGCAGGGCCCCGTGAACTTTGTGTAGAAGACAGCGTGGGCGGCCGTCATTAGGGCCACGGTCTCCAACCTGGTGGCCGGCAGTTGGCAGACCACCACACCGTCCACCGATAGTTCCTCACCTGACCTGCCTGACGAACCCCGTTTCTCGGATCCGCCAAGGTGCCAATGGTTGTTCCACAACCATAGGCAAGTAGAGCTAGCAGCTCGTCGTCTGCCGTGAAAAAGAATATTGCAGTCAGTTGGCATCAATGCATATCGTACAAATAAACGTAAAGGAAACCTAGGAGAGAAACAAGGAACCGCGTTCGTACAGTAGCTGGCTATGCCATCTACAGTATCTGGAGACGATTCTTCGCTTCTTCCTGATTTCTTTTCACTCTCAAAATCGTAGTACGATGCGTAGTACGTTTGCGTAGTACGATACACTCTTACAACTAAACGTGGTGCATAATTACAAAATAATTATACGTCGTTAAAATATTTCAGCGAAATAAGAAATTAGTACCCGATGTTCCGCTGTCATGGCCCGCGCGGGGCTGGGGTCTCCAGCCGAAAGCGCGGGGCTGGGGGTGGGTAAATTTTACCCCCCCCCCCCCCCCCCCCCTGTTATCTCCCGAACTAATGGTCCGATTTGGAAAATTCAAACGCCAATCGAAAGATCTCATCACGAACAACTAAAAACAGGTACTTAATTTAAAGGTTGAGCCTTGAGGTCAAGGTCAAGGTCAGGTCAAGGGTACAAATTGCAAGTTTCTACAGTATCGGCCTTGCACCGTAGTTGCCGAAGAATAGACTGAGACTGATTGCCCAAAACGTATTCTTAGGCTACCAAAACAATATTCGCTGCATACAATATCATTAAGAGGTCAAGGTCAAGGTCAGGTCAGGTCAGGTCAGGTCACCAAAAACAAAATATAGAAAAGGGCATGTGCGACACATTCTTTATGGGTCATTTTATTCATAGAATTCAATGGGCACACTCAATAGGTGATATGGACCACATCTGGATAAATTTTAGGTCGAGGTCAGGTCAAGGTCAGGTCAAGTGAGGTCAAATTTTGAAGTTGGTTGTTAAGGCCTAAAAAGGTGTCTATCTGATGCAGTTTTTCACGGCAAATCGAATGGTGCTATTTTTGTTTCCGTACGAGGTCTAGAACTTCCGAAAAATTCATTTTTCAAAAATTTTGTGTGTCGTGACGTCATGAATTTTTTAATAACTCCCACATTTTTGAACCGGTTCTTCTAAAAATTGGTATGTAGGTGCACATAGACCACATCTCTGACATATATTCCGGTTTTTTCGATACACTCACAATTTTTGATTTTATAATTATTTTCCCAAAAAAGTCAGTTTTTTGAAAAAAGTTTGGCCAAAATCCAAAATTTTCAAAAAACCGAGATAGCCATTTGATAGACAAAATAGAATTACGTATAACCTTTTTTGTTACGTCTTGATTCCTTTAAAAATCAAGATGTTAGCGGCGTTTGAAATTTTGCCGTTTTTTAGGCGAAAATGGCGAACATGACGTCACTAAAACGTCAATTCCTCAAAAAATTTCCGACGGATTTCGCTCAAATTTTCAGGAAACGTGTCAAATTGATGTAAAAAAGGTACTGAAAGTTTGGCGGCGCTGCGCGCCGCCGTTTTTGAGTTATTGCAAAAATTCGCGAGGGTGGGTAAAATTTACCCCCCAGCCCCGCGCGGGTGTATGGAGTGCAAGTAGGTATCAAACTGCATGTAACTGTGGTATATTTGGAGACAATGAAGACAACCATGAATGGAGACAACCTGAATGGAGACAACCATGACTTTTCAATATCACTAGAGTTAAACAACACTTTTTGACTAATAGCAAAACCAACGACGATTGGCTGTCCAAAGGTGAGGTACAACATGTCCCGCCCATCGTTAAAGTGCCACCTTTTTATGGTTTTCGGTTTAAAACGGTTTTCAGTAGACCTGACCCACCTATGACCTACCCTGAAGTCCGTTTCCCGAAATTCGTCCTAGTTTTCGAGATATCCGCATTCGAACTTCACATTGATGCCATCACAAAAAGTGTGGGAGATGGGATTTTAACATGGTAATGTTACATTCCCATATTCCACACATTTGTGATGGCTTTAATCTGAAGTCCAATTGCGGATATCTTGAAAACTAGGCCGAATTTCGGGAAACAGACTTCAGGGTAGGTCATAGGTGGGTTAGGTCTAGTGAAAACCGTTTTGTGTAAAAAAGGTGGCAGTCTTCCTTTAAGCCAAAAAAAAAAATCATCAAGAAAATAAACAGTTGTCCTGCCCTCTGCTATTAATGTAGTACGCCATTGGGATATGTGAAACGTCATTTCTCCATCGTGCAGGAAGAAGCATGCGTGGGAAATACCTTCCTACACTTGGTCTTGGCTAATGTTTTGGCCTGACCTCGTATTTATCGAAAATACCTCGGGCCTAACTTTACATTCGCTAAAAAAAAAATCAGTCAGATCTAAACATTATTCCAGCCCTGGCCAGGAATATATTGTCTACGATGATCGGCTCGAGCCCAGTTATATAGAAGAAGAGTATCCCCCCCCCCCCGGCACGATGTGTTGCTAGCGGAACACCTCATCCGAAAAGGTGTGCTTGTGCCCGTTCAAAACTCACCGTCATTGTCGGCCGGCTCCACGTTTATCATCGTCTGGGCATACTTCTTCGCGGTATGTCTGATTTTGTGCAGGACATGCTCCTTCACGTCCTCCTCGAGCCCCATGATCATTCCCAAGTCAGTCCACACCTGGAAACATCGCAAAATCACATTAATGAATGTAATTAACATCAAGCAACATCAAGTGAACATTATATCATTGTGGAAGGTCAGGTCAGGTAAGTTACTCCAGCTCACAATGTTGGCGTTCAACATTTGATTCTCGTTTCGCCGCTGCCAGTCCGAAACTCCACCGAATGTCTTCTTGCTGTATTCCACCACGGACAATGCACACGCACAACCTGCTCTCACCAACTCCACGGTCCAACCACGCGCCTACCCCGCGTCCGGCACAGCCACGGCAACGGCGCCCCAGGCGGCGCGTCCGGCTCGCGCAAAGGCGCGGCCAGCGCCGCGGACCGGGGAGGATGGCCGCCAACGGCCGGCCGCCCGGTCACCGGAGCCGAGCCAGTCCCACGCAGAGGCGGAGCCAGGGACCGCCGGCAACTGACCGGCTCAGCCAGCGGCGCGGCGAGGTGCCGGGACCGGGGCCACGCCCCACAGCACAGACGCGCCGTAACCGTCACAACACAACACAACGCCGCGCAGTGGTGTACGAAGCTTCACCTGCATCATCACCCCCCTCCACACCACTGCACGGCGAAATAGGAATGTGCACACACAAAAGACGACAACAGTACAGTATTTAGAAGGAAATAAATGCCGGCTCGTTAATCCATCACATAGTCCGCAAATCTCACAGGCGGACGACGCGCGCGCTGGGAACGGCGCAACGAGGGAACATCAAACCGCACCTTAAGGGCTCCACGCAGACCGGGTGACGTCTGCTGCGCGGATACTCGAGTCGCCACCGGCGAGGTACCCGTCGCCGCATCA